GGGCGGGCTGCCGTGTGGGGAGCCGGCAGGGGCGGCCCCGCAGCACCTGTGGCGCCGGCGGGGAGAGCGGGGCGAGGCCGCGGCCGTGAGGCGAGGGGCTGCGGGGGAAACCGCCTCGTTCTTCTCTCTTTTCTGACCCTTTCTGCCGGCGGGGAGACGAGCGGGGCTGGCCGAAGGGCTGCGGGGGCCTCGCTCGGGCGTGTGTGGCGCGTTGCCTTCCCCCCCTGAGGGATGCCTGAGGCGATTTCTCTTCCCGCCCTCCCGCTGGCCGTGAGGGGCGACCCGGCCCGGCCGGTGCCGGAGCTGAAGTTTTTTTTCGCCCCTTTTCCTGGTGCTGCGGTGAAGGAATGAGGAAGGGACGGTGCCGGCCTGCCGAGCCGTGTGTGCGTTGGGGTTTGCCCGCTTGGTGAAGTTGGGCCGCGTTTGTAGGGGTTTCGGCATCCCCGGAGCCCTTTGTAGGTCCTCGTCTCTGTTAAAGGGAGCCGCGCGGTGTATATTGCGAATTTGCAGAATTTAGGTTTTGCCAGACTTTTCGCTCTCGCGGCTGCTAAATACTCCACACCTGTCCTTTTTTTTTTTTTGCTGACCCTTTCCCTCCCTCTTGAAAACCAGGTTTCCCATGAAATAATACAGAAGTTTATCGTATTTGAAAAACATGTAACCATCTTTCCATTTCAACCCAAATAATCGCCAGCCAGTGAGCTTTGTCTACAAAAACAGATGGGGGAACTTACTAATAACGAGTGTGACAACCCGTAGTGTAAAAGAGAGAGTGGGGTGGTTTGTTTTTTTTTTTCAAGAGTACCTTTTGAATCTTGTTAGGTGCCTTTCATATTAATAGTTATCTGTATACATTGGCATCATTTCACTAAAACGTGGAATTTGCCAGCCCTATGGTTTCTGCTTAAAAGAAACCGAAGGGATGGAGTAAGACTCTTACAAGTGCATATAGAAGTATGTGAATGGAGCCACCTAGAGATACTTGCTGCAGAATTATCAGGCCTCCCTTGCCTCACCGCCTGGATCACGCATTTCCAGATATTGGAAATGCTAATACATTTCCTCTCCTCCCATCTCCTTCGCAACTTGCTGCAGTCCTTCTAACGTCTCAGCACGAACCTTTTCTAAAGAAGACTTGATGAATGTTATCAACGTGCTAAGGATTTACTTCTAGTGGTTTATGTAGATAAGCTCAGTAAATATTTTGCTTAAGGTTATACTCCCTCTGATTTATCAGGGTTCAGCTTTTGCTGTAGAGCCTGTTTAAGACGGTCTGTGGTTTTGAAGCATCGGAAAGTAAGGTAATAGCACTCTTCTTAATCCTTGAGTATTGAAAGTATATGGAAGTATCTGCTTGGTCCAGTAAAGCAGCCGTGGAGCACTCTTGCTTGAATTTGACCTCCAGACAAAGCCTAGACTGCCAGTGTTCTCAGAATGTGAGCTGCACATGTGGTGGTTGTAGTTAATTTGTCCAAAGACAGGGGAAAGAAGTTGGTTTGGTTTTGGGTTTGTTTTTTTTCACTGAAATCCCTAGACTGGTGGAGGACGCTGGAGCACGTAATAGCTGTCAATGTTTTGAGGATTAAAAACGGTTCTGTTGAATTACATATCTGTTCCTCATGCTTTTTCCCTTTCTTTCACGAAAGTAACACCCACACTGAGAGTTAGAAAAACTGAAAGAGGCGTTGCACCATTTATAGAAATTGATCAGTAAAGTTTCTCTGAGCTTTGCAGCTCTAGATTTTATGGGATTAGGGCCTGAAAGGGAACGTGCTTTAATACTCAGAAGCTGTGGTACAGGACTGGTTAAGCTGAATGAATCGAGTAGCATCTTTTCAGTTTAAAGAAAAAAAAGAAATGTTGTATGGTGTTTTCTTCCCGTTTCAGCTCAAATTTTATTGGAAGGGAGGGAATGTGGGCTTCATTACCAGTGAGCAGCTTACCCATGAAATCAAGTGTGTAGTTAATTGGCAGAGGACTTTACTGTGCTGCTGATTGTGTTCACAAGCACTTATTTCAGGAGATACTGGCATCTGTAAAAAGTGCTCTTTTTACTGCCTGCTAACATTACACCCCAGTTGTCTTTACAGTGGAAAAAGGACCTTGTTGATATCAGAACGTGATACTCTTGCAACTACAACTTTTTAGGCAGCTATCTAAGACTTAGAAGTAATTGAAAGGTTTATTAGATTTTTAAAGACTACCGGATCTATTTGTTTGTGTGGAGGAATGACAGAAAAGACATGACTGAAGGAAGACTTTAGCTATACGTGTAGGAAAAAAGTTTCAGGGGTTTTTGTTGACTTAATGGTTTTGGTTTTTTTAATATTCAAGTAAAGCTAAACCCCTGAAACTTTTGTCTAGGTTAAATGTATTAGGTTCTGCCACAGTGTTTTCTCATATGCGGGGGCTGATGGTGGTACTGGAAAAATAAATCCTACATCAGTAGGTTGATAACTATCTTTGGGGTTAAGGTTATCATTTATGTGATAGTATCTGTGTTAGAAACTGCACATCTGGTAAGTTCTTGTCTGCTCATGGTGGATAGTACATATCTACCTGGATGTCCAAGTCCTTCCTTAGCTTGCTCTTCTCTAGACTGTATAGCAATATTGTGACCAGGGTCACCTTTCTTCTTTATCTGCGTTTCCGCGCCCGCTTCCTTCTGGGCATTTGCACTTCATTCTTTTTACTGCATGTCCTCTGCCCTCGGACTACCCCATCTGCTAGCCTGCCCTCTATGGTGCTCTGTACTCTTTCACTTGTAGGTGTTCTCCGGCTTTCCTGAACTTGTTTCCTACCCAGCTGTCCCTATACAAATGTCAAGATAAAATTATTCTGAGCCCTGTAGATACCCCTGGATAATGGTGTCTGTACTCAGCTTCTTGCATGAAATTTCAAGGATTGCTTAACGATGCTGGCTTTTCTGTTCACTATTAAGGCCGGAATCTTGTACTTTGAAAGTATTCTTTCTAAATAGAATAATGCACTGGATGGCTTTTAAAACCCAGGAGCTCCTCGGGGCCCTGTATTGAATGTGAGATGCTATTAAGGTTGGATCCGTTGTATGGGAGTGAGTGGCAGTTGACCAGTTCTTTTGCTGTGGGGTGATTTCCCACGGGAAGGGGGAGCATAGATGGTGTCATTACTTCCTCTTGACCTGACACCACGCGACTGCACATCTGAAATCTAGTTATAAGGATTGACGCGAGGAGAAAAATACTTAAATTAGAAACCATCCTTTCCTCCCTCTCACATAGGTATCGTCGTATTTCTTTTTACCGTGGAGAACCTGTTTAGTATCTTTTGTGTTGTGTCTTCGCTTACATTGGAAGCTGTTACTTGTTTGGATTTTGTAGCTCGGCTGTAGGTAGACGGAAGGCCACTTGCTTGCTGCTGTCAAAACAATCTTGCCTTTTTTTCTGGAGGACTCATGACTTTAATGAGAGGAAAAACTGGTTATGGATGATGCTGTGTTCTTACATAAAGAATGCAGGGAAAGCGCATTGACATTTCCGCAGCGGTGATGATGCCTGCTAGTTAATATATAAACGGAATAGTCTATAGATGGCTCTCAGATGAGGCCAAAAAGCCAAATTTTTGTTGACTTTAAGACGTGGTTGCTGGCATTTCTAAAATACGAGTCTCTGATTTTTAATTCAGTGCATTGTATGAAAGCTTAAAGGGAGGATATGAAAGATGGCTATTCAGTGGGACTGTCCAGGGTAGCAGGAATTAGTGTCCCTTTTCTTAATGCCACTGAAAACAGTATTCTGTGATAAGTTGGGGGAGGGCAGGAGGGGAATGAACACATGTAGGGTGTTCTTGGGTTTGTGTAACCTAAGTGGGATAAAAAAGAGGGAACGAATGGTAAGCTTACTCTACTACGGAAATCCTCATCCTGCAAAGCAGATACAGGATACCTTACATTTTCTGTGATGTGAAGCCACAGCCAGTCAACGCACTCTCTGTCATAAATACTCCTTTCTAAAAATCTCCTTGCTCTGATAAATTTCTGTGCTGCTGTGAACGTCATTACAAAGACCTGTGTGATGTACTGGAAAGTAGGTGATGTTTAATGATTGGATTAATGAACAAGTCAAATACAACTCTTCAAATCTGTGAGTTGTTTTCAGATGGATAGCTTTTGTGTTGTTTCTTTGCCTTCCTTTTGGTGTATCTGTTTTAATAATTGTTTCGGCTGCTATGGAAACACTTCAGGATAGGGATAGTGAATGTTCTTCAATACCCTTTTGTAGTCTCTAATCTTCTATGCGTTGTATCCTTTTCTTGCTGGAGTAACGTGAATGTAACAAAATTTGCTATCTGGCCTTTATGCTTACATCAAATGTAAATGTTAAATTTGCTCTTGAGTAGTCATCTCAATCTTGTACTTATTGGTTAGTGTATTTGACTTCATAAAGTTATAAATACCGGGAGAGAAGTACAACTCATTTTTGCTTTCTTTTATATCACATGTGATTTCCTAATGACGCTTCAGGAATATTAACTCTAAAGAAATGGGCTAGTACGCATGTAGACACTTAGGAGACTCCAGAGAATGACTTGAATCTAACTGAGGAGTTACCCCCCCATCCAAATAGATGTATTACATCAGATGGGGAACAGGATTTTTTATTAATTCTTTAAAGCTTTTATCACTT